CTCATGGTGCTACGTAAACCAGTGTTCTGTGTTTTGTTTCTTATTAATTGACCTCTAGATCCAGAGGCTTGAGCAGACTCAAGTTTGATCCCTTGGGCAAGAATTTAGAGGGAGTGAGTGTTTTCACCAAAGGGCACATGATATCTGGGTTTTGCTCTTGTTTCACCTTAGCATCTCCTGATGCTCGATGCCTACAATATTAATTCATTGGCAGTTGCAAATAGTAATATGCTGGCATTTTTTCACTTATTTGCTGAAATAATTTTGAAAGAAGAACCTTACTCACCTAGGATTTGGTTACCCAGTTGTGTAGTGCATAAGAAAAGTAAGAATAAGTGCTGACTCTTTCCTTTGGTTTATCCTCTTTCTAAATACATGTTGTATATGTTGATCCACTGTAATTCTCATTCCTGTGGAAACTCAAATTTCTCAATCTCTGAACTTAGTCCTTTTGATATGACGCTAGAAGTTTTTGATAACTTCCTCGCTCTCTGGTATGACAAGATGCTCTAGATTCTTTTTGTATATTTCTTTCTAAATACCTGGAATCAGCCATTTCTACAAGAAACCTTATTTCTTTGAATGGGAAATGGTATTTTAGTTTCAGAATCTGGGCTTAGAGATGCTAATTGCTACCAGGTTGATAATTGTGTCTGGCTTTTTAATGCACAGAAATAGGATATAGTTAAAGGAGCTGGTGATTTAGTAATGATATTTCCAATTCCAACTTGAAGGCTTTTTACTTAATTTTGCCTATATAAAGTTTGTATTTTTTGATACTGAGAATCCTAATTTTTCAGGGCATAAGAGATGACAGAATTAAAATGTGCCATAAATATTTATTTGCTTTTTCCCACATTATATATAAAAGAGTTTCAGAATAATAATACTATTTCACCAGCACCCCTATGACTACTTGAAATAATTATGTATTCTTTTCATATACCATCCCATTTCTTCTCCCCCATCATAAAAATTGAATGGCCATACTGTATCTGTACTATCTATACTATAACCATTATAATATACAGTCCTTCACTTTTAATTCTCACTTTGTCCTAGTTCTACAAGCAACTATATAGACCCCTGGTCCTTGTTGATGTTTCTCTTGTAATTTTCGTTGTCTGAAGCTTGTTCTCTAATAGATCCCTTACAAAGTGCTCTCAGGGAAAAATCCTTCCTGAATTGTTTGAGGTTGTATGTTCCCTTTATATTAGAGGCCAGTATTTCTGGATATATAAGCAGTGGTTCACATTTTCCTTTCTTGAGTATTTTAATTATTTTACCCTTTTTTCTTCTGAAATAAAATTGTTATAAAAGAGTCTAATGATATAATTATCTAACCTTTATATATCACTGATATTTTTATCTAGATTACAAAAGGATTTTTCCTTTTTTTTTTTTTAAATTTCAGAAAGCTTTCTTGAATTATTGCTGTTTTTCTGTTTTGTTATTTGTTTTTCTTTTTCGGAGCCTTCCATTATCTATCTTTAGGTTGGGTCATCTTTGTCTGTCCTCAGTAGGCATTGATCTAGACTCATGTTCACCTCTTTCTTTTTCATTGTAAAAATTTTCTGCCTTTTAATCCTCTTTTATCTGAGTAAATGTGTTTTTCACTCTTGCGTTCCTCCTAGGTTAGTCTTCATTTCTATAATTTTTTTTTCTAATTTCTAGGTATTGTTTCTAATTCTGAGATGTGTTGTTCTTCCATATCATGTATTATTTTCTTAAATATTTTAAGCTAATTTTTAATTAATACATTATAGTTTTGATTTGTTATTGGATACGCCTCCTTGGTATATTTTTATTATCTATAAGGAAGATATTCTGCCCCTTGTTCTCTATTTCCTTATGGTAACTTTGTGTGGGATTTTACCTAAATATTTTTCTTTCTCCCTTTCTTTCTCTTCCTTCCTTCCTTCCTTCTTTCTCACCTTCCCCTCTCCCTCTTCCTTCCTTCCTTCCTTCCTTCCTTCCTTCCTTCCTTCCTTCCTTTCTTTCTTTCTTTCTTTTCTTTCTTTCAGCTTAGTTTTCCTTAATATTTAGTAGGAGGCTGGATTCAAAGTTCAGGTAACATTTCTAATTTCACAGGCATCCTCTTCTGTTGTTTTTAGATAGAGCTTAAAAATATGCAGTTTGGGAGTACCTGGGTGGCTCAGTCAGTTAGGTGTCTGACTCTTGATCTCAGCTCAGGTCTTGATCTCAGGGTTGTGAGTTCAAGCTCTGTGTTGGGCTCCATGCCTGGCATGGAGCTTACTTAAAATAATGCAGTTTTTTTTCTTCTCTTTCCAGGTTCTTCCCAACTTTAGTTTTGACCTTTCTTTTTCTTAACCTTTATTTTCCTTATTTTCCTTCAGTTTTGGACCCGCTTCTAGCAGTTTTTTTTTCACTGTGGGTCCCTATCCTGGAGGTAAGCCCTGCCAGGATATTTTCAAGAGTATACATGGTCTGAATGGCTCCAGCCTCTTTACACTTTACTCTGATGCGCTCACTCACCCACCATTGGAGAAGGAAAATCCTCCCCCCCTTTTTAGCTGCCATTCTGATTGGTCTGCATTCTGCTTTCCAGCAATATTCGCTGGCAATTCAAGGATTTCTCTATTTTCTGGTTTATATATAGTGCCCTGCTACTTCTCTCTGTTTCCCCTAATTCAGATGTTGCTAACATACAAGGTTTCCCCCAATAACTCATATTTTGTGACTCTTCTGAGTATCTTTGCATCTACTTCTTCTTTAAATGTTGGCCATAGATGTGTAATTTTACTACCTGTGTGGGGGTTAGGAAGATCCAGAATCTATATTTTTACCACTGCCTCTATATTTCTAGAATTCAATTTTCTAAAACCTAGGCATTTACAATCAACATGTTACTTTCTTATAGGGATAAAAGAAAGAGCACAACTCAGATATTCATTGTATATGTAAATGAATTAGTATGTGGGGAATATATTTAGGAAATGGCATTTCTGAGTAAGTTCTAATCACTCTAGATACACCCCACTCTTTCCTGCTATAAACTGATGCCCCAGATGACCTACATCTGTATTTACTAGGTGAGGTAAAAACATCTTCACGGGGCAGTGCAATATAATAGAGAGAGTGTGGATTTTCAAACCAAAGAGACTAAAGTTCAAATCCTTATTCCATCATTTAATGGCTGTGAAGATGTGCACAAGATATTTATGCTTTAACACTATTAATTCCCGTATTTGTGAAAGGTACATAACTATATAGTTAGTTAGTATATATTTTGAGTGAATTTTAGCTTCCTTTTCCAAATTGTTGACATCAAACATTGTAAAGATCAAAACTTTTAGAACCCAATTACATGCAACTTAAACAGGTACTCTGCTCAGAGGTGTAACAAATGCATACTGTTTCCTAAAGAATTATTTGCTTTTCTATAAACTAGAATTATTTTTCCGTTTTCCCCTGGTATCAGTTTTGAATTGCCCCAACCTACTCAATTTAGGGAAATATGGGAAAGGAAGAAAAGTAGTGCAGAATCAGAAAGGCTATTATATAGATTTAAGCACACTTTATAGAACTGTCTCTTCCTACAGTGCAGGACAAACCCAGAAGAAGGGTTTTTTCTTCTTCTTGTTTTTTTTCCCTCCTCATGCAGATTGTCACATAATGAATTACAAGCAGAATTCAACTTCTGTGAACTGCTAGAGGTGGGGGCAGAAGGTGCTCAGAAGATAGGCAACCATGATTAAAAATCTTTGTCAAATGCTAACTTTGAACATGCTGTGGTTTGATTTTTTTAAATGTAACCATGAGCAGAAAATAGCATTTTCTCACTCTATGAAGTCACACCTCTCTTTGTCAATGGAATAGTCGATAACAGTGAAAACAAAATTAAATGTAAATTGAGATTTCCATCTGGCCACTGTGACACCCTCTAATTCAGGCCAAACAACCTGTCTTTGAGGAAATCTTTTCTGAAGTACACTGGATTGACAACATTTGAAAGGTTCCATGGTTCAGGAGAATATTTTAGGCCATTTGAGAAAAAGAAAATCCTGAACAAGACAAAGGAAGACTATAAAAAACAGAAAATCTAGTTATTTACCTTTACTGAGACAGAAGGTGTGTTTGTGTTTAAAGAAAATGAATAATTCTGTGTTAGCTACCCAAATATGGTTTTGCAGGGTGCTGATGTTCTTTAAATACAGACTCTTTTTGTTTCCCCTTATTTCCTTCTTGTTACTATTTCGCTGATTTCAAGGATCCCAAGGGAGAAGGGAAGGAGGAGCAGAAGGAGAAGGAAACCAGTAACAAATTCGGTAACTGAGAGAGAAATGGTCCAGAGATTCAACTGTGAAGTCTACTATACCAGGATACTAAGCCCAGTTGGGCCATTTATTAGCTGAACGATCCTGAGCAAGTTTCTTAACTTCCATAGGCTTCAGATGTCATAATACAAGTGAATTATATGTCATATAGTAAGCACTCATTAAGAATTAGTTATTTTTAATCAACATATGATTTGAGGACTAGGTTAGAATATTTTCTACTTTGGTAACATATTTTAAGTTATTCCATTCTTTTCTGTAGTGACTCATCAGCACATACTGAATTCATTTTATATTGTACTTAACGGTGTATCCAAAGATGTAGAATAGGAGGCCAATGCCTTATCCATTAGTCCAAAGATGTAGAATAGAATGAAGCTGTGATAGCTACTTCTCTTCATAGTTGGACATAACAAGTATGGAGCACACATATTGTGTTCAGAGAAGAATCATTTAACTTTCTTCTCTTAGATATGGCTAATAGGTTTCCAGAGGGGAGACAAAAATGCAACCTTTCATGAGTTAATGAGGGAGCCCCCATTGATTATTGTCATTGAGAGTCTCCAATGACAATGATCATTTTTATGTACAGTTCTAGAGAAGAGGCGGACCAATGCATTTAAGGTGTTCTTTTCTGGGATGAAAGAATGCAAAACTGAGAAGGAGTCTTTAAAATCAGAGGTGGAGATGGAATTGAGATGTTAAGATATTTACTAGAAATGGATGCGCATAACAGAAAGAGGAAGGAAGGAGGATTGGTGAGAAGAAGGTGAATGATGCCAACCTGGCAAAGTCTCCACCAACCTCAGCAGGGGTTCTGGACCAAAATTTCGACTTTGTATCATCTGAAATGGCCCTACCTTTTTACTTTGACTTTGTTCCACATATGGGCTGCCACAGGAAGGTATGACCTTGAGCAAGATGGCTCTTTGCATTTCGGGCAGGTCCTGAAGGAGCTGATGCTGGAGGCTGACTGTTGACTGTAGGCCCATAGCTGGCCACAGGTCCTTTCTCAAAAGGAGATCCGTCATTGTATCTCCATCTTTGTCACAGAGACATTCAAACAGGACCACCTGAAATTTGAGAAATTTGAGAATTGTAAATCCTGACCTAGTGGACCTGGTTGAACAGACTCTAAACATTATTATCACAATAATTAATGTATTTGGAAAGGTAAGGACACCAGCGGCCTTAGGGAAAATCTCACAGAGCAAGAAGAGAGAATCAGGGCTAAGGGAACAAGATGGATACAAGTACCTAGAAGTTATATTTTTGGTGGAGGAGAGTTATTTCTGGTCAGGTTTGATAGCATACAGAGTCTCTAAATCCAATAAATTGTCAACTTCTCTTTATAATATTATTGTGTTAAATTTAATTTACTTCATGCCTCATATTTAAAATAAATGTATTTTAGTCTTAGCTCTTCCTACTTAGAAGTATTTTAGAGCCATCATTGTCATGTGCTCGCACTACAATATTCATATCACTCTCTCCCTTTCTACAAAAAGACTATCGTAAAAGTGCAAATCCTTGCAAGCATCATATGAAAAAGGAAAGTGTATTGTCCCCTGTTTAGTAGTGTACCTCTGTATTACTAAAATATATATTAATGTAGCTAATATTACTGGTGCCATTGAATGAATCACAGCAAAACAAATGAAATGCATTGTCCCACTTGGGGAGAAATGATTATGTAATGAGTAAACTAAAGAAGATAAAACTTTGGAGAACAATATAGTGCATCATGGCTGCATGTAAAGGGACTTACTTGGACCAGTGCCCTGAAGTGGGGAGTATCTCTGGGAGAGGACCAGGTTTTATTAGCAACACTATTTAGCTGGGAGTAGCAACAGCAGTAGTAGGTAACTTAGCCGATACTTTCCATTCCTGTAACTGGAAAAAAAGAACGGGCCTCCTTGGGATGGAGCAAATCCCTAAGGGTTTTTGGACAATTAAAATGTATGTATATGTGGGTGGTGCCTGGATGGCTCAGTCGGTTAAGTGGCTGACTCTTGATTTAGGCTTAGATCATGATCTCAAGGTCATGGAATCAGGCCCCACATGAGACTTCGTGCTCTGAGCTCAGCAGGGAGTATGGTTGAAGATTCTCTTTCCTTCTCCCCCTTCCCCTGCCCATGCTTTCTCTCTCTAAAATAAATAATCATTAAAAAAATGTATGTCTATGTGGGAGAAAACATATCTTTTGCCAGTAATGGAGGAGAGTATTCAAGATCAATTTGAAAAATTAAAAGAGATTAGACCTGTATTTATATAATGAGGTTATGTAGCAGATCATGTTAATTACATATATAAGAGAGGAAGATTCCTCTTCCTTCAGAGAAGATGGTGGTGTTTTTCTTTTTCTGAAATATATAAAGACTTCAATTTTTTCCCAGCTGTTTTAGGTTCACAATAAAACTGAGAGGAAGGTACAGAGATTTCTCATATGCCCTCTGCCCCCACACATGTATAGCCTCCTCTACAAGAGTGACACATTTGCTACAATTGATGGACCCACACTGACACATCATTATCACCCAAAGTCCATAGTTTACCTTACAGTTCACTCTTGGTGTTGTACAGTCTATGAGATTGGATGAATGTGTAATGACATGTATCCACCATGACAAAGTCATACAGTGTATTTCCACTGTTTTAAAAATCTTCTGTGCTCTAAGCATTCCTCCTCCCCGCCCCCCAATTTCTGGCAAGAAAAAGATCAATATATTGATCTTTTTACTCTCTCCATAGTTTTGCCTTTTCTAAAGTATATAGTTGGAATCAGAGTATGTACCATTTTCATATGGGTTTATTTCACTTAGCAATATGCATTTATGTTTCTTCCATTTCTTTTTTTTTGTAGCTTGATGGCTCATTTCTTTATAGTGTTGAATAATATTCCATTGTCTGGATGTACCAAAGTTTATTTTTTTAAATTTTATTTTATTATGTTATGTTAGTCACCATACATTACATCATTAGTTTTTGATGTAGTGTTCCATGATTCAAGGTTTGCGTATTACATCCAGTGCTCCATGCACTATGTGCCCTCCTAAATACCCATCACCGAGCTAACCCATCCCCCCACCCCACTCCCCTCCAAAACCCTCAGTTTGTTTCTCAGAGTCCATAGTCTCTCATGGTTCATCTCCCCCTCCAATTTCCCCCCCTTCATTTTTCCCTTTCTATTACCTTTTTTTTTTTTTTTAACATATAATGTATTATTTGTTTCAGAGGTATAGGTCTGTGATTCATCAGTCTTTTTTTTTTTTTAAAGATTTATTTATTTATTTGAGAGAGCGAGAATGAGAGAGAGTACATGAGAGGGGGGAGGGTCAGAGGGAGAAGCAGGCTCCTCGCTGAGCAGGGAGCCCAATGCAGGACTCGATCCCGGGACTCCAGGATCATGACCTGAGCCGAAGGCAGTTGCTTAACCAACTGAGCCACCCAGGTGCCCTGTGATTCATCAGTCTTACACAATTCACAGTGCTCACCATAGCACATACCCTCCCCAATGTCCATCACCCAGCCACCCCATCCCTCCCACCCCCCACCACTCCAGCAACCCTCAGTTAGTTTCCTGAGATTAAGAGTTTCTTATGGTTTGTCTCCTTCTCTGGTTTCATCTTGTTTCAATTTTTTCCTCCCTTCCCCTATGATCCTCTGTCTTGTTTCTCAAATTCCTCATATCAGTGAGATCATATGATACTTGTCTTTCTCTGATTGACTTATTTCACTTAGCATAATACCCTCTAGTTCCATCCACATCATTGCAAAGGGAAAGATTTTGTTTTTTTGATGGCTGCATAATATACCATTGTATATATATACCACATCTTCTTTATCCATTCATCTGTCGATGGACATCTTGGCTCTTCCCATAGTTTGGCTATTGTGGACATTGCTGCTATAAACACTGGGGTGCATATACCCCTTTGGATCCAAATCCACTACATTTGTATCTTTGGGGCAAATACCTAGTAGTGCAATTGCTGGGTCTTAGGGCAGCTCTATTTTCAACTTTTTGAGGAACCTCCATACTGTTTTCCAGAGTGGCTGCACCAGCTTGCATTCCCACCAACAGTGTAGGAGGTTTCCCCTTTCTCCACATCCCTGCCAATGTCTGTCATTTTCTGACTTGTTAATTTTAGCCATTCTGACTGGTGTGAGGTGGTATCTCATTGAGGTTTTGATATGGATTTCCCTGATGCCGAGTGATGTTGAACACTTTTTCATGTGTCTGTTGGCCATTTGGATGTCTTCTTTGGAAAAATGTCTGTTCATGTCTTCTGCCCATTTCTTGATTGGATTCTTTGTTCTTTGGGTGTTGAGTTTGATAAGTTCTTTATAGATTTTGGATACTAGCCCTTTATCTGATATGTCCATTGCAAATATCTTCTCCCATTCTGTTGGTTGTCTTTTGGTTTTGTTGACTGTTTCCTTTCCTGTGCAAAAGCTTTTTATCTTGATGAAGTCCCAATAGTTCATTTTTGCTCTTGCTTCCCTTGCCTCTGGCGATGTTTCTAGGAAGAAGTTGCTGTGGCTGAGGTCAAAGAGGTTGCTGCCTGTGTTTTCCTCTAGGATTTTGATGGAGTCCTCTCACATTTAGGTCTTTCAACCATTTTGAGTTCATTTTTGTGTGTGGTGTAAGGAAATGGTCCAGTTTCATTCTTCTGCATGTGGCTGTCCAATTTTCCCAACACCATTTGTTGAAGAGACTGTCTTTTTTCCATTGGACATTTTTTCCTGCTTTGTCGAAGATTAGTTGACCATAGAATTGAGGGTCCATTTCTGGGCTCTTCCCTATTCTGTTCCATTGATCTATGTGTCTGTTTTTGTGCGAGTACCATACTCTCTTGATGATTACAGCTTTGTAATAGAGCTGGAAGTCCAGAATTGTGATGCCACCAGCTTTGCTTTGCTTTTTCAAGATTCCTCTGGCTATTCGGGGTCTTTTCTGGTTCCATACAAATTTTAGGATTATTTGTTCCATTTCTTTGAAAACAGTTGATGGTATTTTGATAGGGATTGCATTAAATGTGTAGATTGCTCTAGGTAGCATAGACATTTTCACAATATTTGTTCTTCCAATCCATGAGCATGGAACATTTTTCCATTTCTTTGTGTCTTCCTCAATTTCTTTCATGAGTATTCTATAGTTTTCTGAGTACAGACTCTTTGCCTCCTTGGTTAGATTTATTCCTAGGTATCTTATGGTTTTGGGTGCATTTGTAAACGGGATCAACTCCTTAATTTCTCTTTCTTCTGTCTTGTGGTTGGTGTATAGGAATGCCACTGATTTCTGTGGATTGATTTTATATCCTGCCACTTTACTGAATTCCTGTATGAGTTCTAGCAGTTTTGAGGTGGAGTCTTTTGGGTTTTCCACATAAAGTATCATATCATCTGCAAAGAGTGAGAGTTTGACTTCTTCTTTGCCCATTCGGATGTCTTTTATTTTTTTTTTTGTTGTCTGATTGCTGAGGCTAAGACTTCTAGTACTATGATGAATAGCAGTGGTGATAGTGGACATCCCTGCCGTTTTCCTGACCTTAGGGGAAAAGCTCTCAATTTTTCCCCATTGAGAATGATATTCACTGTGGGTTTTTCATTGATGGCTTTTATGATATTGAGGTATTGTACCAAAGTTTATTTATCTATTCACCTATGAAGAGCATCTTGAGTGTTTCCAAGTTTTGGTAATTATGAATAAAGCCACTATAAACATTTATGTGCAGGTTTCTTTGTAGACATAGATTTTCAGCTCTTTTGAGTGAATACCAAGGAGTGTAATTGCTAGATCATATGCTAAGAGTATGAGCTTAGTTTTGTAAGAAACTCCCAAACATTTTCTGAAGTGGATGTACCATTTTGTGTTCCTGCCAGCAATGAATGGGAGTTCCTATTTCTCCACAACCTGGCCAGCATTTGGTGTTGTCAGTGTTTTGGATTTTAGTCATCCCAAATAGGTATGTAATGATATCTCATTGTTGTTTTCATTTGCATGTTTCTGATGACCTATTCTAGTTTCCTTTTGACTTCTTTAAATAGGTACTGTATTGGCTAAGTCCCC